ACCTTTAAAAATAAAAATTTCAAGGAAAAATCACCTCGAATAGGGAAATCCATTATGTCATCAATAAAACTTAGACTCATAAATAAAATAATCACTGAAAAACAACGAAACAAAAGACATCAAAAGACAACTCTAGCATAACACTCTCTTCCTCGAACATCTGCAATCAAAGACATCAATGAGCTCATAGATCAACACTTCATCCCAAACCAAAGCCAATTAACTTTTGATGATATTGATAAAGATATATCTCATTTAGGATTTTGTTAACTCTCTCTCTTATTATCATATTCCATTCTTGCAGTCTCTATCTTGCATTTCCCTTTATGTAATTCAAATTCAATTAAATAATATGTTGTTTCCCTTCCTAAATGTTTTTTGTGACTTCTATTTGCATAAAAGATATCCTTAAATTATATGACATCTTCATTGATTAAAAGTGATATTTTTTTTAATAAATACTTAAAATCCTTGTTTTACATAAATCACCATTACTCAAAATATTTTGAAACATACCTTGAAATAAATATTCTTCTACAATAAATATGCTAAAAACAAAAAACGTATATCACCGCTTATCTTTCTTTATTACCCTTGGCATGCATTCACTCAATAGAAAATATTTGCTTGACACATATCCTATAACACTTATGATAGTCTTTTAAATTAAAATATTGTTTCGCATACAAAGATATATGATAGCTCATCACATGTTCAAATATTTAGTTATGCTTATCATGATCCTTAAGTGTGATGGATAATACTATAGTTGCACACACTAATAAAACATACAAAGTAATATGAATGTTTAATCCATGTTTGCATATCTATTACATCTTTTACCTGCCTTTTTGATTATGAGAAAGAGGGAGAAGTATACTCTCAGGGGGGAGGGTACACTACAAGAAAGACTGAAATTTGTCAGGGGATTTAGCCAGGAGTTAAACCCCTAACAAAAAAAACAAGGTTGCTTGGGGTAAAGCCCCTCGCAACATGTAGATTATAAAAAAAATACAAAACAAATTGCATGGGGTTACCCCTCGCAAAATTAAAAGAGGGAAATTTGAATTTTAAAATGTTACTTTGCGAGGGATACATTCCTAGGAAAAGAAAATAGCGCGCAAACTGCTGTAATTTACGAAGGGCCACCCTAAGCTAAATGTCAACATGACAATAGCGAGGGGCTACCCCACGCCAGCTAGACAACTTTAGTATAGTCATGGTAGTGTGCAGACTGTGTATGCAGGGGACATTTTCCAATACATAAAATAGCGACGGGCTACCCCCAGTGTAGTTTGACCGTTTTTTTTCCCGTGGGGCTCCCCCTCGCTAAATTCCATACCAATTGCATCGCTTCAGTTATATATCATTGTTTTAATTTTAAGCGTTTAATATCACTTCTTCTTCTCATCCCTCAATTACAATTTCAATTTCAATCTTCTTCTCATCTCTCTATTCTTTCCCCCAAATAAAACCTAAAGTTTCAATCACAACCTTAACACAAATAATTTTTAGGTAAATATGTTAAATTATTTTGTTATGTGTTTAATTTATTTTCAATGTTAGCGTGTAATATAATTTTTGTTTTTCATGTACTAATTGACATATCTAAAACGAGCTAAATTTTGGAGAAAACTTCAAATTAAAACAGTAGTTTGTTCATCAATTTCAAGTACACATTAAGAATTTTTCATTTTTCTTATATATTATGTTGATAGAGTAGATATATTTGGTGTATATATTTATTTTGTGATATTTAGTTTATAAACTGAAAATAATTTTTTTAAATTGTTTTCGAAATTATTTATATATAGAATAATTGAAAAAATATATTATTTTTTGATATTTGTGATATTTGGTTTATATATATATTTTTAAATAACTGAAAAAATAGTATATATATTTATATATTTGAAAAACAATATATATATTTAAAAAAAATAGAATATTGACTTCTTAAAATAAATTATATATTTTTTAAAATTAAAATAATATGGTTTATATATAGGTTTATAGTAAAAATAGTATAGAAACCAAAACAATATTCTATATATATATATATATATATATATATATATATATATATATATATATATATATATATATATATATATATATATATATATATATATATATATATATATATATATATATATATATATATATATATATATATATATATATATAATAATAATAATAATAATAATAATAATAATAATAATAATTGAAAAAATATATTATTTTGTGATATTTGTGATATTTGATTTATATATTTGATTTTTTTTAAAAGAACTGAAAAAATAGTATATACATTTATATATTTAAAAAATAGTATATATATTAAAAAAGAAGAATTTATAATAAATATGTTTGAAAAAAATATTTATAATAAATATGTATGTATAAAAATATTATGTATAATAAATATTTATGAAAATAGTATATGTATTTAAAAAACGATATGTATAATTTTTAATATATATGATTTTTTGAAATATGTATAATTTTCAAAATAAAATAAGTTTTAAAACAGTATGGATATAATATGTATAATTTTATTGAAATATGTATACATAGTTTCTAAAAATATATATTTTTATACAAATAATATATTTTTTTGAAATACGTAAATACTTATGTATAAAACAGTAAACATAATTGTTTGAAATATGTATAATTTTTAAAAAATATAGTTTCTAATATATATATATATATATATATATATATATATATATATATATATATATATATATATATATATATATATATATATATATATATATATATATATATATATATATATATATATATATATATATATATATATATATATATATATATATATATATATATATATATATAATTATTTTTTTAATTAATTTATCATTTAGATTTTAGATTACATATAACTAATTATTTTTTACTTATTCAATTAGCGTGAGAGTTGGATAGAACTTCGAGCTCCATCTAAAGACTCATCTCAAGAGAAATGGAGAGTTTGGTGACGAACACGCAAGAAACACTCAAGTAAGTTTTTCTTATATTAAAAACATTTTATTTATTTCTTTTATATGGAATTTGAATTATTATAATATTTAATTTTTTTTTTGTAGGAGGAGTTTGATAGATAACTTGTCCTACAGTTATCAGAGTATCCTGAATTTGAACCACTACCGGGATATCTTATTGATTATGTTGTGGGTTTTCAGACATGGTATGATGTTTTAGGTGGAAATAAGAAAAATATGAGAGTGTATGATACTGGAGGGTACACCAAAACTATCAAGCGGCGTGATAAGAGTTTTAAAATGAGACTTGCTGATGGAGAAGGAACATCAACTCCACTTATATTAACTGCCAAAATGCTTGAAACGGTGAGAAACTTGGCGAATAAAATGTTTAAATTTGAAAATTTGATGTTTATTTTAATTTGTATGAAATGATTTATGTTAACTATTTTGAACTTAAGAACTTTATTGTAATTTGCATGGAGTTTTATTTTAATTTTTATTATGTTTGAGTGAGTTTTAATTATTTTATTTATTATATTAATTTTATTATAATAATATAATTTATAGAATTATCATTATTGATTTTTAGTTTATTAATAAATATTTTGACAATTTGCGAGGGGATAAACTTCAAGGAAAATATCACTGTTTGTAATTTGTCAGGAATTTATCCCCTCGCAAATGATAAAGCATTTACATTTTGCCACGGGCTTAACCCCAAGCAAAATTTCGGACGCACTCAGTTGCCATAGCCTGCGCCTACGTCTGCGTGCTGCAGACTATAAAAATCAAATTGTATTTTGAGAGGGGGTTAGCCCCTGGCAAAATACTGACGTGTAAATCCCTTCACAAATAAATTTGCGACCCCCTGTTTTGCTAGGGGAGCAGTCTCCTCGCAAAATTTCAATTTGTGAGGGGTTTTTGCCATTTGTGAGGGGTTAAGCCCTTGACAAATAACATTTTTTTTGTAGTGGTAAATTTTCTATCTAATTTAGGGGGAGTATTATCACTCCAAAATATATTATTTTGTTTCTTTTAGCACATGCTCCGAGAGATGTGTTGTCCTCACCAAAAAGGGGGAGAATCGAGAGTATTTATAGTAAAATTTGATTATTATACCCCTCAGTTTTATAAGAAAATTGAAGTACATTATCTTATTATCACATTGATTATGACAAAAAACTTAGGTGAATTACTCTTAATTTTTTTTTTTTAAAATTAAATCGTTTACACAAAATATTAAAATAAATTATTTACAACAAATCTTTGTTCTTATTAATGAATATATTTGTTGATATCCATATTCAGATAAATTAAGTTCTCTTCTTTGTTTAACTTTTCAAAGGTTGAGCTCACTTCTTTGTTTAACTTTTAAAAAGTTAAGTTCCATTCTTTGAAACAAGAATGATTTTCTACACTTGTAATCTATCAAATGAGCAAAAACACAACATCAACACCATTATGTGAGATAGATTGCAAAAGTAGAAAAAATATTTTGTTATAGATAGAAGAATATTGAAGATTTTTTTTGTCTTGCAATCCATCTAAAAGAATGATGCATACGAGTTTGGAGCGACTTTATATAAATAATGATTAGGATAAAATGTGTTTAATGAGTGTTTTTATACAAGGGAGATGATTTGGATCACAAGAAACATAATTTAAGGGACTGTAACTAACATAACAACCTAAAACTATTATTACAGAAACTGAAAACAGTTATAAATAAAAACACTTCAATATAGGCACTTGCACGGATATGGGTGAAAGCAATCTAACACCAACTAATAGGGGTGTATCAAGCACTAGTGTGTTGGTGGGTTTAATTATCATAATTCCGATGTTGAAAATATCACTATAGCTGAGTGTGATGGCGTAAAAGAAAAAGTTGAGAGAGCACTATGTTTTTGTGAGGTGCATATTAATCACTATCTCCTCTTAATTAGTTCCACAAAATTTCATAAGGGCCTGCTTTTTATATCCTTGCCAATGCCATTACACTCTACAATTACTCCAGATTTCTCACAAGCCCTTCAATTCAAACCCCTAGTTAGCTTAATGGGTTACTATTGTTATAAACACAAATACAAGAGAAATCATGGCACTTGTTCTGATCATACTTCAGATGTTGTTATGATGTTGGCCGTTGCATTGATGCTCCTGGGGATACCATGGCTCTTCTCGCGTAGTGGACCAGTGGTAGTGGTCGAAGAAAACAAGAACTGGTCACTGACACCAATACTCGTACTACTCATCCTGCTTTTCTTGTCATTCATTGGAAGGCCAAGAAGGACTAATATGAAGTCAATTTGCTGTCGGTGTAAGCATTCCTGTTATTGTTACTGCTAGCTGTGTATTGTATATTAATACCAATATGAACATGTCTTTATTATTAGGGTTAACACCAATATCATGTAATAATTTACTGTCTTTTTGAATGAGTACGTATGCTTGTGAGATTAATTTTCGTGTTTGTTTAGTTTGTCTTCGTAGTGAGTACAATAATGAACAAGGACTCGTGTTAAATGTACTAATAGTACTCGAAATAATTGAGTTCCTTCTCTTCATCAATTCACTAACTACTATAAACATATGAATCATGTCCCACTTCAGCAATATTGGATTCAAGAATTATGTCCCACTTCAGCAATATTGGATTCAAGAATTATGTCCCACTTCAGCAATAATGGATTCAAGCAGTACCGCTCATATCAAAAAGTAAGATATGGAGTCAGAAACAAGACACGAGTGATTAGAGTGTACAATAAATGATGGCTTAACATTAGGGCCGTTCTTTGTACGATTCAAGAAGAAAATAAAATTGAACCAAACTAAATTATAATAAAAGTTCACTCAAATTAAACCGAATTATTTTAATTTATTTAGAACCGAACCGAATTAAAATTATTAGTTTGGTATATCGTTTCAAAATTTTGAACCATATCAAATCGTTAGAAGATAATTTTCCCCAAATCAAATAGTTTATTATAAAGAACCGAATCTTTAAATTATTTTTAAAATTCTGGTATGACAAAACTCATATGTCCTATGACATGTTGGGACATCTGATCTGACATAAACAAACAGGCAAAGTATAAACATATTAAATACCAGTACTGAAAAGCAATAAGCAACATACAAAGATTGTTAACTCAATTCGGAGCAACTCTCCTACTCTGGGGGCATACCAAGTCAGAGACAAATCCAGTATGATAATATCAATTCGAAGTTAAACTCCTCCGTTTACAACTTCTCACTTAATAACTACCCGTGTTATATTTCCACCTAAGATCCACCTAGGCATGGGCCCTCCTCAATCTCTCATCAATCACAGACAGCGGTTAGACAACAACACAGGAAGACACACTTCCGTGAGAGTAAAACAGAAGACACACTTCCATGACAACACCTAGTCAAGACCTAAAGTTAAACTCCACCGTTTACAATTTTACTCTTAACTAAGAACACAACTTGGAGTTTCTTATAAGCTTCCTCCAAGAACAATACTCAACTCATTACTTCACAACTTCTGAGTGAGAATACAATGACCATCTCACAATCCGAATGGTTCACCTGCACCAACTCTCCTAGAGAGTGGCTACAAACTAAACCCTAATGATTACATCTTTTCAAAAACACGGCTGGTATAAATTCTAGGTTACAAAGTTTCTATTTATAACCTATTCTCAATTGGATTTGAGCTTCTAATCACAATATATCAACTGTTACAAATCAGCAAAAACTTTTTTCTATAAACAAGGTCTTCAATCATTAGTTTCCTAAAATATCTCCATATTTAGAAACTGCATAATTTTCAATATTCTGATTTGATTCTTCTTGACCTTTAAATCACCACCACATAGGATTGCATAACATTTCCATAATATTATGCATCTTGTTAATCATAACTAAATTCACTAATCCAACTTAGCTCAGGCGCGATGTCGTATGCTCCTTCATAGGACATCTTATCCGACATGTTGTTACAGATGTTTAAACACTTCAACTCAACATGTCTTAACATAAGACATGACTTCTTGCTCAACCTATTCCTGTTATCAAGTTAATACATCATATCTAACATATTGCTGCTATATTAGTTTTACCAAATATAATGCCAATCACATAATTCAGAGAACTAACAATCTCCCCCTTTGTCTTATTTTGGCAAAAACTAATTTACATAAACTTTACACAAATAAACAATAAACATAACTCAAAGATTAAACAATACAATCAGTTAGCAGCAACCATAAACTAAAAACATCAAAAGTAGTCAGTTTTTAGACTTCACATCTTTGACAGTCTTCAGTCTTTACTGTCTTCTCACAAGATGTCACAACATCAACAACAATAGGAATTCTTCATCTTCATGATAGTCCAACACATAATCTCTCCCCCTTTTTAGCCAGAATATGACAAATGCTTTTAACAAAAGGTAATATCCATAATCTCTTCACAACAACTCTAAATATTTCCATTCTAGACTCAAAAGCTCAGCCACACATATCCAGCAGTCTAATGTCACAATATCTTGTTTGACATCATAACCTCACCAGAGGAAAATACTCTTCACAAGCTTGATCAACACGCAAGAATTAATAAACATTCCCTTGACTCCCCCTGTCAAGAATAACCAATGCTCCTACTGAAGATAAACATTTTGAGCACACGAGAAGAACATATTACTGTCTTCATACTTCCATAATGGAGGGCAACCACTTCACACATAAATCTATACAAGACACACTTGATTTGGAATTTCTTACACATTTTAGAACAAATGCTCTTTATCTGCTTGCTACACAAGCTCAAGAGTGCCACCATCTCTTACTTATAGTAGTATAAACACCACCACAACAGACATTCTGATTAGACTTCAATATGTGATAACCTTCTTCTCCCTTTTCAATCACTAGCAATTGTTAATACTAGTGAAGACTTCAACATAATAGTCATGCATTTCCCAAGCATGCTACTATAGACAGGATCAAAATCTGCACATTCTGATCCATAAAGTCAGACTCCATTTTTTGATAACAAAGTTGATCCTCAATCCTCCATAATAATAATCCCAGACCTCCTTCAGGGATGACACACAAAGTGATGTTACAACATCATTTAGGACATCAACTTCTCTTCACAGACCTTACTCAAAGGACTCATTATACTTTATACACCTTTCAACCAGGAAGATCTAAAAGCATACACCTGTTGCAGCTTTATTCAGGTAATCATAGACACCTGAACACCCAATGATAGAAATAAACTCTCATAAACTTTCTAAACCAAGGAGTTCAGAAACCAGATTTGCATCCACACCTCAGATAAGTACCTAGCTCCCGACAATGCTTTTACCATTAGTAACATGCACACCTTCACAAGATCAGACTCATACACAGCTATCAACAAGGTATTTATGACCCAAGGAAAACTTCCTCACACACACAACTGCGGATGATACTCCCTTTTACCAGATGTTAGAACATTTAATCTGTCATCTTTCTTCTTCATCTTTTAGCACAAAAGGGATCCTTCATAATATTCCAGACTTGGTCAGATACTTAACCTCATACTCCATCATAGTCCATTGGTGATAAGCGATTCTCACCTCATGATCTTCAATACAGCTTCTCTCCATGAAGCTGTAAACACCTGAGATGATGTTCCAACATCGCTTCTGAAATCAATCTCAGTCACATGGATTTCACTTTTAACTATGGTTCTGGAGACAACACCATAGTAATCCATACACCTCTCTTGAAGTAGAACTCAAGAGACCTATACTTCAGCAGCTGACCGCATACGCAGATTCAAATCAGCAGCTGATATCACACATTAGGAGGCTTCTTCATAAGCACAATATCCAGACCTCCTGTAAGGTGCCATCTTTCTGCATATAAAAAGGAGATTTCCTCTAAAATACAGAGCATAACAACCATGGTATTTGCTGATCATCATACCATGAACAGACTGTTCAGAGAAGTCTATTTCTCCCATTTTTCAACATTCACCAATTAGACACCTTATCCAAGCAACTTTTACAATACCAATAAACACCTGGTTGAGAACACTATAATTGTAAGTTGATTTTCCAGAATATAACTTAACCCAGGTTGATGCATCTCCATTGCACACAACCCCTTGTATGTTTCTTCCATTTTATCAGAACAAGAGTTCAATATTCTCATAGACTTGATAAGTGATATCAAGTTTGAGTAGACAACCTCTATCCTGTTGAGGGAAACATCAGTCAAGTCAAGTTGAGAAAAATAAATTCTCAACACAAGGATGTCAAGACATTATATCCGACATCTCAAGAATTTCCATCTCCAAATTAGAAATTCTTCTTCAACTGCTATGAACACCTTGAGTTTAAAACCTTCTCCCTCTTAATAGCAGTACATCCATGTGGTTTATGCACACCCATATGAATCTCTCAATACAAACAAAATTTGGTCCTTGGCCAAAAATAAGATTCCAAAATAAATTTGGATCCTTTGATCAGAAGGATTTTCCAGAATTCAAAGAGACTTCCCTTCACATATGAACTTGACCTTCATATATGAAAACAACCGGATGAGATAACAAATTTCTTCAGAACACTAAATCACTTGCTAGATCACTTGCTTTTATTTTAATGTGCTTGTGGTGTGGTTTTTGAAAGTATTTTGAAAACGTCTTTGTAATGATGGTTCTCGTCTTTATAATAACGCGTACAAAGTGTTTGTTTGGAAAATAGTTCAAAGATGTGTTTGTGAGATGTGTTTTTTGAAAGTGATTTTGAAAAGGTGTATTTGTAATGGTTCTCGTATCTATAAGAACGTATAAAAAAAGATTTTGTCCTTTGAAAACAAGTTTTTTATGTGAAACTGTTGGTGTAAAATGTTTGGTTGTGAGCAAGCGAGCAACTAGGAGAGAATCTACCTACTCAAAAGGTCTTACATGTTCTTTTCCTCCTCCTTTAGATGTTGCTACCTCACCATTGATTTGATAAGAAACCCCATCGTTGGATGTGAAGGGACGGGCACAGGACGTTTTTGTATAATCATAGAAGGCAACTTATGGGACGTTTTAGCAATGTCGTTTTTGGGACTAGATCGTTTACCGAAGGCAACATCGAGGGTCATCGAGGGACTACGATCTTTTATCGAGGGTCTTTTGCTAAAACGCCCATGTTCGAGGGACATGACTATTTTTCCGATAGGCAACAAAGTGGGATTACCCTAAGGGTGCTAGTGTGCAAGTGTGTTTGATTGCATACATTTTAGTCTTGATTAGGGTTATCTATTTGTTGATTTCATATCTTACCATACATATCCTAATTACTAGCATTTATATTCAAAAAGTGATAAATTGCGGAAATATAAAAGTCCTACGCTATTACAATATTTTAGGGATGGGGGATACATATTTACAAATGGGGGGCTGCAAGAATTTAAATCCTATTTAATTATTACAACCATATTGAAATATATAATGCAAGAAATAAAAAGGATTTTGTTTAGAAAATGGATTTTTGTCTTAATGATTTAAGGAAAAAAGAAATAAATTAGTTAGCAAAAAGAAAATATTTTTATGTCTAAAAGAGTATTAATATTGAAAATGATAAAAGGGAAAATAAATGAGATATGGTTAATATGCTGCTGAAAGCAAAACAAAGGAGATCAGAAGTTCTGATGCCAAGTTTGCTGTGACTCAGAAAGAAACGTCAGTGAGAATCAGAAGTTCTGGATTAGTACACTCTGAGGTCCTGCAAGAAACGTTGGAGG